GAAAGAGGCTCCAGGCAAGAAAAGTAGACAGAAGTCCCGTCCTGGAGTCACCTGCCCAGGGTGGAAGGGATGGAGGACAGAGGAGATGGAGCGGCTTCCGGCAGTATTGGAGAAGGTGGTCAATACTGGAGCACGTAGAGCTAAGTGAGAAGTAAGCTCAGTGGAGACCTCCAGTCAGGCGTAGGGTCTGGGCAGCCTACTGCAGAGGTGATGGAAGAAGATTCTGGGGAAAAGCTGAGGTCCACGGTGGGTGAGAAGCAACAAGGCAGACAGTGGCTGCAGCAGAGTGGGGGATGGGAAGGTATGTGGGGTTGTGCGCATAAGAACACACACACACACACACACACACACACACACACACACACACACACACACACACACACACACACACACACACACACACACACACACACACATACACACAGACACACAGACACACACACACACAGACACACACTCACATACAGACACACACCATTACCTTGAGGCAGGGGACAAACATGGTCATTTCTGAGACTTCTCAGCAGGTAAAGTGCTCACCGTGCAAGCACAGGGACCGAATTTGGTCTCCAGCACCTGTATAAAGGGCTGGACATAGGGGCATGAGCATGAAATCCCACAGCTGGGGAGACAGAGATGAGAGGGAAGGACATCAGTACAGAGCTGAGGACAGGGAGAGAAACGGCGGGACCTATTACACCACCACCATCAGAGGCCCACGCATGCTCAGGACGTGATTCTGTGGCTCGTGGGTTAGGTTCTAGCTGGATGAGGAATGTGGATATGGGAAGGTGGTGAAGGAAATGGCTGTGATGCTGGCAAACTGAGTGCCCACTAAGCAGAGAAGGAGGCAGACACTAGAAACAATCAAGGCGCTGGCAAATGGTCACAGTGCAGATAAGAAAAAAGAGAGGGAGGGTGTGGGGCTGCAGTGATCAGTGTGCAGCCCCTGGAAGTAAAGAATAGAACAGCTCTGGCTTGTGCTTGCTAAGGACCCCCAGCTGCTGTGTGGAAACACCGCCCACTCAGGCAGGCCTTGCCATTAGACGAGGGTGGTAGGCTGGGCCACAGCAGTCACAGGGAAGCAGGGCAAAGCTTCAGGACTCAGAGACCAACAGTTGATAACCGGTATAGTGTGGGGTGAAACAGAGAAGAGTCCACGGGTATCAGTACCTACTGCATTTCAAAGCGAGTGTGATGCATTGGTGGAGGGGGTGGGGCTTCCTAAATCACTCTGCTGGTCAGAAGTGGGTGGAAGGTACCCCATGGGAAGCTGTCACTGCCCAGTGTGTAGGAAGAGCATCTGGTACAGCCATGCATAACAGCCCAAAAGCAAGAGTGAGGATCCCATCACAAGCTGAGCCCAGCCAGAGGGTAGAGTGGCCACATAGCTTGTACAAAGACATACATAAGACAGAAAATGCTAGAGCAGGGCTGTAACACTGGGGACTTAGGGAAAGGCAGAGGCTACAGCACACAGTAGGGAAGTAGAGGGCAGCACATGGCAGCTTCCTTGGTAAAAAGAACTTTTACAGTTTACCCAGCTGCACTTTGTGTCTGCAGGAAATTGGAGGACAATGTTCAGGATGGGAGAGTAAGCACACTGGAGCCAAGGGGGAGGGTGCCCTAGTTGCAGAGAGTAGTCCTAGCTCCAAGACTTCCACATACCTTTTGAGACTCATGTAGTTTTAGTCTGTACTGTGTTACTATAACAAAACAACTGAGGTTAACTACCTTATAAAGAAGAGTTTATTTGCATCACAGTTCTGGTAACTAGGAAACCCAAACAGCATCAGCATCAGTATCTGGGAAGGGCACATGGAAACATCGCAGCATGGATGCTTTATACCCCACTGCCGTGAGAACCGTTCTAGCTTCACAAGACCTGGGCCACTCCCAGCAGAGTTTATCCAGGAGAGTGGAGCGACCACAACCTTCCCTGAGGTCCCACCTGTTGCATGTTGCCCCACCTCAATGTACATTGAAGATCAAGCTTCCAGGGCACCTGTGACAGCTGATGCACTGAGAGATAAGGCAAAGCAGCTGGTGAGCCCAACTGATGTCTCAGGCAGACTACAGGGAGTTGGCAATGTCTGAGAAGGATTTGTTCACTGATACCTCTGTAGTGTCATCCCTGCCCAGTACCCATTTCCAGGGCATTCCATCCCACACATATTGTGCAACAGGGAAGGGGTGTGCCTACACCCCTTCAGACCCCAGAGATCCTTGCAAGGTGTGTGAGCTGCAGAGACAGTACGGAGAGGAGGGGGACTACAACAAGAGGAAAACTGAAGGAGTGCTGGCGCACCATTCCAGGAAGAAGTGGCATAGTCCTCACTTGCCGCTGTGGTCCTCATCTGGGACCATAACAGGAAATATCTCCCAAGACCTGATGCCCCTGGAATTTGCAACCTGCAGCAGGATGCCTGGATTTTCTAAGCAATATTTCTGCACACCGTGGTCAGAAAGAGTGAGAACCAGTTGTGGTGGAGGCTGGGGGACCACCCATCTCCCTTGGACTTTCAGTTTGCACAGGCCCACTCCTGAGTGCCTGCCTGCTTACACAGGCTTTCATAGCATACTCATCCTTGTAGTCCATCCATAAAGTAGGCAGAAAGTGGGAAAAATTAAAAGCTAAAGAAAGCATCTGGAGAGTGATGGGAATGAGAGGTAGATACCCACATCCCTCCCCACTGGGGGTTGGGGGGGCAGAGAGCCCCTTTGGGGTTAAGCCTCAGTTTCCTGAATTAGCAACTGACTTACTGGCATCCCTTCCCCTTGTGTCAGCACCTACGCAAGGTGTTTCCCTCCTGGGCTTAAGACTTGCACTTGAACCCTGTCCCAGAGCTTGTTTCTGAGGGAACTCAAAGTCAGACCTCAAGGGAGGCAGAGGGCAACTGCTGGGACTGGAAGGCAGCCTTTGAATCCCAGCCCCTTCGTGTGTGAGGAATTCCCTGTTCCAGGAAGACTCTGGACAAGTCAGTTGTGCATAAATTAAAGTATCAGTGTTTGCAGTGAGACTGGGGCAGTACTAAAACATGTCATGTTGTCCACAAATCTGAATAAAGCTCAGGCTGGCAACAACCGCTGGGAAGCATAGCCCACTGATGTGTCATCCACAGTGAAATGGAAAAGACTGTAGTCTGAGTCAGAGTGTTATTTCCAGCATTTGGCCTGACATTGCAGTCATTGAGGGGTGCTGTTCTTGAGGGCTATCTTCCTGCAGGGTAAGGTCCTTCTGGCATTTTCCAGGGGCTGCCTAACTCTTCTCTCAGGGGAAATCAGCCTTACTAAGCCCCAGTGCCCACAAACCCACTGCATTTAGTTACTGTTTCTGACCAGTCTCTAGATATAGATGGCAGGTTCCTTTCCCTGGCCTGTGGTGCCCTCTCTGAAAAGCCACTGAAAAAGGTGGTTAAGGGGGATAAGTAGATACCAGGGGCAGGTGAGTGGGTGGGTTGGTTGGTTGACTTGCTTGCTGTCCTGGGGATTGAACCCAGGGTCTCTCAAGTGTTGCATGAGTTCTCTAGCACTGATATATACTCCCAGCCCAACATGTTTGGGTTAAAATTCTGCTAAGCACTGAAATCTATGCATCTGCATGAAATCCCATGCAGAGGAGCATTACCGTCTCCATTCACAGAAAAAGAAGTGAGACTCTCAGTGGCCTGCTGTGTAGCCTGCCGAGGACCCCATGAGCAAGATGCAAAAAGCTGGGCTGTGTGGTGGGTGCTGCCCTCCCTCCTTCCATCTTCTCTCAGCATCAGAAACTGTTTCCCCACATGGCTAGTTAGGTGATATGGCAGGTGGTTGATGAGTAGAGCATAATGCCTCTACCCCTGGGGAGAGGGGCACACTGTCCTTCTGTGTCTAGAAGGAAGCATCTGGCCCCAGCTTCTTCTGAGGACCAGGCAGGTGAGAAAGTGGCCTCTGGACTGTACCTTTGCACTCAGTCCCCTTTCCCTCAGAGTGGCTTCCTTAGGGTCCATGCTAGGATCCTAGGGAAGAGGTTTGTGGGAAGCAGGGTCTTAGCACCCATCCCTACCTGCCTGGTGTTCTAGCCCTCATCCAAAGCCATGCCAGAAGCATTTCCTCACCCCTTGCCCTGTGACAGGCCTGCAGTTTTACAGTCATGGGTAGTGCGATCTTGAAGCTTAATTCTGAGCTGTATCTTCGACCAGCTTCAAAATACCCATGGCTCCTAACTACCCCCAAAGTGAAAGCTGGGCTTTCATTCAAGGCGCTCCATCATGGAGCCTAGGTGAGGTGTCGTGAGTTCATTCTACAGCCACTGGCTCCATGCCTGTCCTGTCCTGGCTGAGTCTGGGATGGTTGGGAGGTGTCCCTGAGCCTGCGCTCAACCCTGTGCTTCAGTGGTAGTCACACTGTCCACCTAGAGCCAGCACCACGTTTCATGACTCCTGCACAATACCCAGCACTGGGCAAACTTTGGTCACCCCTTAATTCTGGGCGTCTTTCTCTTTGTGCTTAGGCTGTAGCGTACACTGCCAGAGAGAGTGCCATAAAACACTGTACAAAAAATTGCAAACGAACTCATTTTGTTTAAAAAAAAGTTGTCAAAATATTTTTACATGGAACTGGTAGCAGAATTGTGCTTCCACATCAACACCATAAAGAACAAGACACGCTGGTGTCTTCTAGAGGGTGCCCTCTGAGGAGAGAGGGGAGCACAAAGAGACCTCCACACGGAGCGCAGTCCATAGCGAAGACTGGGGCTGGTGAAACTGCAGCTGCTCATGGTTTGGTCTCTCACTCTGGTCAGGATTTGTTGCCTTTGCCCAAATAGTTATCAGGTCTGACTCAGAAGACAGGAAGATGATTCTTTTTTTTTTTTTTTTTTTTTTTTTTTTTCTCTGCCATCTGTGTTCACAGAAAGACCCCTTGAGAGCTCCTACCAGTGGCTAAGCTTTCTAAGGTAGGCAGCTGTCAATCTCCCTACTATCCACACCCTTAACTACCCAGGTCTCTGTCCCCCGCAGGCTCTCTGTTTCCGCAGCTGAAGCCATCAGAGGGCGTCTTCAAGGTCATCTTCTGGCTGGGCTACTTCAACAGCTGTGTGAACCCGCTCATCTACCCCTGCTCCAGCCGCGAGTTCAAGCGCGCCTTCCTGCGCCTCCTCCGCTGCCAATGCCGCCGACGCCGCCGACGCCTGTGGCGCGTCTATGGCCACCACTGGCGAGCCTCGACCGGCGATCAGCGCCCCGACTGTGCCCCCAGCCCGCTCGTCGCGCCCCCGGGAGCCCCCCTTGCCCTCACTGCACACCCGGGCCCAGGCTCTGCAGGCACGTCCGAGGCACAGGCAACGGTCTCCGGCCGTCGAAAGCCCGCCTCCGCCCTCCGGGAGTGGAAGCTGCTCGGGCCGCTGCAGAGACCCACAACCCAGCTGCGAGCGAAGGTGTCCAGCCTGTCCCACAAGATCCGCTCTGGGGGCGCACGGCGCGCGGAGGCTGCCTGCGCCCTGCGCTCGGAGGTGGAGGCGGTGTCTCTAAGCGTTCCCCAAGAAGTGGCAGAGGCTGTCATCTGCCCTGCCTATGAGCCAGCCGACTACAGCAATCTCCGGGAGACTGACATTTAGAGACCGAGCCCCAGGTTGGGGGATGTGCTGGGGCCAGGGATGGGGTGCATTTTGGGATGCTGCCTTTGGATCCAGGACTCTAACCAAGCGCCTGCCCCGTCTCACTCTAGAGCAGCAGCAACTGGACCTGGGGTCGGAGCGCTTCGTAGGTGGTGGGGTTATGGCGCCCCCTGCTGGACATAGGTGTCCAGAGCTCTTCGTGGACGGGAAAAGACTACAGAATTCACCGTTCTCATCCAGTCTGAGAAACTGCTTAGTCAGCTGGTCCTGAGGTCTGGGCCGAAGATTTTAGGTATGGCCACTCGCCTTGGGGAGGAAGAGGTACAGATTCTTGTTTTGCTGCTCCTAGGGTAAAGATCAGTGGGCAGTTTCTACTCCTCTTGCCACCTGAAGAAATCGGTAGACCTACCTACCATAGGACCTGCGATACTGCAAGCGTCGGTGGCGTATTGAATGCCCGCCATACAAATCTGTTGTTTTTCACCCTAGGCCCACTGCCTCCTCCCCACATTCCTAACGTGTATGCACCCTTCACCCGGCCCCGCCCTCACTATTCCTCCCAGGGGCCTTACTGTTTACACTCTGTACATAATTCATTGTGCCTGTCTGTGCCCATCACTTCTCACTGGGATTCCAGGCTGCCGACAGGGGAGAGCCAGCCTTATTTATCATTTTGAAACCTATTTATTGGTAAGAGTACTTCTATTTTGTTCAGACTTGCTAACTGTCCATCTTTGGCCTGTAATTCATATAGAGCCCCACCCCCCTTTTCTGAATTCCTTAGACGACAGGATAGGCTATGTTCACCTTGCTAGTTTTGTCATAACTGATAGTTGCTGCCCTTTGGGGCTTTTTTGTTTTGTTTTGGTTTGGTTTGGTTTGGGGTTTTTTTGGTCGGGGAGGGGGGACAGGTCAGAAACATATTTGGGAGTTGGTTCTCTCCTTCATGGATGTCACTGTCCTTTGGATCTGTTAGCAAGGCTAAAGGACTTTGGAGCTTTGTTGGCTTTTAAAAGTCACAAAAGCACAAACTTTTTTTTTGTCAGCCTCCCTAGATGCATCTGTGATGCTCTGAGGGCCTCAGGGAACATGTTGACTACCAATGCAACTGGGAAAACATTACATGAAAGGATATATTCACCCAAGCCGACGAGTTTGTTGAGAAAGCCCACCCCTGGGAGTCATATTCCTTAGCCCTGAGTAAAGGCATACATCCCATGATCGTGAGCAATTCCGTCTCTAAAGCAAAATACCAACCACATTTATCCAGCCTGCATGGGTATGATAACTAACCTATGGGCCCTTAGAAGGACAGCTATCTAGACAATGCCCTGAAACTGGCGCCAACATGGATAGGTGGTGTGAACCCAAAGTGTCTATCCTCTACTAAGGGAACAGCCTACCTGGAGTATCATCACAATTCCAAGCCTTCCTTGGTAATTTTACAAGGTTAGAGAGAAATGGTAGCAGGGCTTAGAAGAGTGTGTTTTTCAAAGTGAGCTGAGATCTGGGTTTGCAGAACTGGCCTTTCCTAAGCACCCAGATACAGAGAAGTTATAGCAGGTACTGGAAATATGTTACATACACCAAAGAAGAGCCCATTTGTATCTACCCACCTCCTTAAAACTAGGGGACAGGCTCTGCTATCTTCTCACAGAGTTGAGATCCATGGGTCAAGTCAGAAGTCAGTGAGTGGGTAGTTCCCCCAGTGTCAAGTAATTGAGCTTTGGCCTCTTGGGTAGGAGTGAGCCAGGTTTGCTTCAAAAGCTAACTTAGGTTTGGGGGACCCACCCAGTGGGAGTGGAGGTGATAGGATTGACAACCTACTCAGTGTTTGTGCCAAGTGTGATAATCATCTCAGGGCTGGACCCTATCCCCTGGGTACACCGCTGCTCCCCACACCAGGAATGGAGTTTAAGTGAGGCGGGGAAGGCTTCAGAGCCTAGAGAGGTCATCTCCAGTAGAGGCCTCCAGTGATCTTGTTCTCATAGCTGATAAAGCCCTACTGCTCATCTCACTCCTGGGATATGACAGGATCACGGCCAAGAGGATGGATGGAATAGTGACGGACTGGGGGAATATCGCAAGCGACGTGAGCAAACTCTGGGAGGATGTACCATTCCTTGGGTCCTTGGGTGCTTCAGCCCCTCAGCCCATCCTACAAATTTGACTAGAGACTGTGAACTGCTTGTAAGACATGAGGCCTCTGCCCTCATGTGATCTTAGAGGATACTAGAGGATACGGCCTGAAGGCATCTATGGTTGGGGGAAGGGTGATCCTATGAGATGTGACAATGACTGAAGCAAGCTTTAAAGGACACCACTGTTTGTCCAAGTACCCATGCCCACCTTAGCCTCATTCCTGCCTCCTACCCCCAGGGTCCTAGCTGCCAACTAACCACTCACCTTTCCTTACTTCCCACACTCTTCCTCTGACCCAGGTGCTTTTGCAAGTCACCAGGGACCTCCGGCTTCAGCCCCATGCGAATGGCGTCTGCTCTGGTGTCACCCTTTCCCGATGTGCAATCTGCTGAAACTAACTCACGTTCATTCCTGCCTCCCTTCCCCTTTCCCCTTCCTCCAAAGGCTCCCCTCTACCCTAAACGTTCCCAGGGATTGTATTCCTCTTCTCAACTCTCCACATAACCTCATCCACTCCAAGTCTCAGTGACCACTTACACACGAATGAGTCCCGGGGACTGCCTTGAGCTCCAGATGTGTGGTCAACCTCCCAGACACACCCCAAGGCCATTTACTTCCCACAGAGCCCCTGAGAATGCCCTGCCACCTCCGCTCTCCAACATCTTGACTTCGCATCTTTCCACGATCTCCTTCACAGATTCCCAGCTCTGAGCAAGCTCCAAGCATCCTGTAGTCTCTCAGGTCACTCACATCCAGCCTGCATCCAGTGGGATGAGAGTCCTCATGTCCCCAAACGAAGATATGCCCTGTACTTCTATTGTAGCCAATGCTCCTCCACCTGCCTTCCTCCCCCTTCAGGCCCCTATCATCAAGCAGCTCTTGGGTTCCTCCTGTTCCTGTTGCTGACAGGTCATGGGGAGAGTCTAAAATCTCCATCATCTTTCCTTGTATCACAGTTACAACTCCTCAGAGCCCTCTTGACCTTGATTCTATTTCTATCCTTTTATACCCCCAGGGGACTGACTACACGGTCACCGTCTGTCCACTTGGAAGGATGTTTTTTTGTAGTTGCCCCCCCCTTCCACTTTGCTTCTTGTGGCTCCAGAGAAGCACAAATCCAGATGCTTGAAAAGGCTAAATGAGTCCTCAGCCGCTCTGCCCAGAATAGCTCACAGAGAACCATGTGGGTGCAGGTGGCACTGGGGGGTAGGCCTTTAGAGAAAGGCGCTCTGTGTGCTGTTCTCCAGTGGTCTGGGCTTCCTGTCTTCCCTTCCTCCATCCAGACCTGTACCTTAAGAACAAGGAAACTAGGAGAATGCTGACCAGGACAGAGACCTACATTCTAAAATGACTCTGGCCTGAAAGGGCCCACGGGATAACTGCACAATGTGTTTGCAATGGAGACATGAGACCAGCAGCTCAGTGGAATGGCAGCAGTAGAGTACTTGCCTCTCATGCATAAGACCCTAGATCCAATCCCCAATATCAGCGGGTAGGGTGTATCAAGAAGGAGTCCAGGAAATGGAGCCACACAAGCTGAGCTTTCAAAGAAAGGGGATGGAAGTAAACAAGCATTGCCAACACTTGGGCTGCCCTATTTGCACAGCTTTCTTTCACCGCTAATTGGCTCCACCAGGGTGTTTGTGTTCACTCCTTCCCACCTTACCAGAAACCAAAAAAAGTGTCATAGTTCCTTTCCTGTTCTTTTCATATCACACCTCTACCAGATGAATTTTTACTGGTGTGTGTGTGTGTGTGTGTGTGTGTGTGTGTTCATGTGTGTGTATATGTGTATACGGAGGATAATTTTTTGGAGTTGGTGTCTCCTTCCATCTCTTTCATGAGTTTCAGGAATCGAACTCGGGTCCCGAGGCTCATGCAGCAAGCACATTTTCCCACTGAACCATCATGTCATCTGTTAGCTCCTTTACCTGGGAATCAATCAGATTGGTCCCACTCAGCCTTTGAGCCAAGCCAGAGAGATCATGGCCAGCTCACAGATTGGCTAATTTGGGGTCAAATCTAACAGCAGGTGAGGCAGATGGGAGTAGAATGGTCACAGAGGACAAATGCCATCTGTGCCCCAGCAGGGAGAAGGGAGGAACTCAGAAAGTGGGTGGAGGGGGGGATAATAACTGACACCTTAGCACATTGGACCAGCTGAGGAGACCATGAGCACTAAAGACACTGATGGTTACCTGCACCATCCAAGGCATTATTTTTCTCAGCTGACAAGATACAAGGTAAATGAGTTGCCAGAAGCCCCACGCTTGTACTGTCTGTTTCACGCTCTTCATTGAGGGTTTTTCCTCTTTGGTGCTCTGTGACCAATGGCATGTTGTTCGAGGTTGAGAACGAGAGACTCTGAACTGCAGCTGCAGCTAGCACCTGCCTCCAGTCATCCATCACTAACTGGCACAGAACCACACCTGCCCTACAATCTCAACATGCCCTCAATGGCCGGAGGTGGACTCTTGCATGAAAGACTGGGAAGCTGGGTGGGATTAGTTTTGGAAAGGGCCCCAAAATTCTGCCAGGCAAATTCAACCTTCCGTCTCATTTAGTACTATTCTGTCTTAGGGTTTTTACTTCTATGAAGAGACATCATGACTGCAATGACTCTTTTTTTGTTGCTGTTGTTGTTTTATTAGAAAGAAAATTATTTTACATGTCAGTCCCAGGTCCCTCTCCCTCCCCTCCTCCCCTGACCCCCCCCCAACTAATGCCCTACCCATCCTATACCCTTTCTGTTCCCCAGGAAGAGTGAGGCCTTCCATAGGGGATATTCAAAGTCTGTCATAGTCTTTGGGATAAGGGCCTAGGCCAACCCCCTTGTGTCTAGGCTCAGGGAGTATCCCTCCATGTGGGATGGGCTGGGCTCCTAAAGTCCATTCCTATGGTATCGATAAGTACAGATCCACTACAAGAGGCCCCATAGATTTCCAAGGTCTCATCACTGACACCCACATTCAAGGGGTACAGTGACTCTTATGAAGGAAACCATTTCTTTGGGGCTGGCTTGTAGTTCAGAGGTTTAGTCCATTATCATCATGGCGAGAACCATGGTAGAACATAGATAGACATGGAGCTGGAGAGGTAGCTGAGAGTTCTACAACTAAATCCATAGGTAGCAGGAAGAGAGTGCAAGCCACTGAGTCTGGCTGCAGCTTCTGAAACATCAAAGCCTATCCCTGGTGACACACTTCCTCCAAAGAAGCCACGCCTCCTAATAGTGCTACTCCATATGAGCCTGTGGGGACCATTTTCATTCAAACCACCACACACCCAAAAACTAAAAATGGAAGTCAAAAAATAATGTTTTATGGTAATGTGTGAACATTCCATCTAATATCTTCAATTTTGCCTCTTGGTTCACAAAACCTAAATTTATTCCTTTGACCTTACAGGAAAAGCTTACTGACCTCGATCTTAGGATAACATAAAGGAATCATTGATTGCTTCCTGGTAGAACTACCTGGACCAGAACAGGGTTCTGGCAAGCAAGAAGCCTCAGAAAATATCAGGCAGGCAGCCCTGGTTGTCTACAACACATTTCAAGCTAGTATCCAGCTATTTAGCCTTTTTATTGGTGTACATCATTGTGCATAGTGATGGGTTATTTCATCTTCAGATTGCATAAACTAAGAGTTAGTCCCCATCACCAGTTCCTGTGACAAAGGAGTTATTCTGGAATGCATCTGCCTCAAGGATGTTTTCTAAGATTGGCTAAAAGCAGAATTTAGAAAGAGACCTGAGAAAATCGGAAACTAAGCAGCCACCTGTGCCAAGGTGCCAGATCTCAATGTTAGAACTACAGGAAGCAGGTCTGGTGACCTAGGCTGGCACAGTTCACCACACTCATTGGGAAGTGAAGTTTGTAAGCTCCAACCTTTTGGAGACTTATACAAGTAAGTCTTGTAAGACTATCACACAAGTCAATGTCCTAATGACTGTAAATGAACTTGATGAGAGGCCTAGATGTGGCCTGAACGCAACTTGGTAAGCTTGAAGGCAGGGACGGAGGTTCTGGACCTGGACCAGTGAGCTACCTCCTCGTACATCCTGCCTGTTTCCATGTTACATTTCTCC